GTTGGATCTATAGAGCATATTTGTTTATTTCTTTTTTTTGAGACGGAGTTTCGCTCTTGTTACCCAGGCTAGAGTGCAATGGCGCGATCCTGGCTCACTGCAACCTCCGCCTCCTGGGTTCAGGCAATTCTCCTGCCTCAGCCTCCCAAGTAGGTAGGATTACAGGCACGTGCCACCATGCCCAGCTCATTTTTTGTATTTTTTAGTAGAGACGGGGTTTCACCATGTTGACCAGGATGGTCTTGATCTCTTGACCTCATGATCCACCCGCCTCGGCCTCCCAAAGTGCTGGGATTACAGGCTAGAGCCACCACGCCCGGCCTTATTTGTTTATTTCTTAACCCACTCTGAAAATCTTGGCCTTTTACTTGGAGTGTTCAATTCATTATCATTTGTTATCAGTGATACAGTTACATTTACATATGCCACTGGTTTTTTGTTTGTTTAGTTTTGTTTGAGACAGAGTCTTGCTCTGTCACACAGGCTGGAGTGTAGTGGCGCAATCTCAGCTCACTACAACCCCTACCTCCCAGGTTTAAGAGAGTCCCCCTGCCTTAGCCACCCCATCAGCTGGGATTACAGAGGCCTGCCACCTTGCACCCAGCTAATTTTTTTTCTTTGAAAGAGTCTCACTCTGTCACCCAGGCTGGAGTGCAGTGGTGCGATCTCAGCTCACTGTAACCTCTGCCTCCTGAGTTTAAGCAGTTCTCCTGCCTCCGCCTCCCGAGTAGGCTGGGATTACAAGCTCGCACCACCATGCAATGACAAATTTTTGTATTTTTAGTAGAGACAGGGTTTCACCATGTTGGTCTCGAACTCCTGACCTCAAATGATCCACTCACCTCAGCCTTCCAACGTGCTAGGATTACAGGCGTGAGCCACCATGCTCAGCCCTATGCCCAGCTAATTTCTGTATTTTTACAAAAGTTATGTGTTTTGTGTTTTTTAATTCCTCTGTTCCTCTCTCATTGCCTTTGTTGTGTTAAATGAATATTTTCTAGTGTACCATTTTAATTTCTTTTTATACATATATAACGTATTTATGTTCTTATGATTGCTCTGGGGATTTTAACAAGCATTCTAATTTATCACAATCTTTTTCAGATGAATACTTGTTTAATTCCAGTAAAACACAGAAACTTTGTTTCAATGTAATTTCATTCCCTTTTCCTTCCTTTTCACTGTATTTTTCATATAATTATATGTCTTTATATGTTACAACCTTTTTATAGTTAGAAGTTACACATCATAAGGTATATTTTTTATGTTATATATTATAGTATGGTTTTATAATTATTGTGTTATGCAGCCATCTGTTAATTGGATAAGAGGCTGGGCCAAGCACAGTGACATCTGCCTGTGGTCCCAGCTACTTGAGAGGCTGAAGCAGGAAAGCAGGAGGATCACTTGAGCCCAGGTGTTTGAGACCAGCCTGGGCAATATAGTAAGACTTCATCTTTAAAAAAAATAATATGGTGGTTCACGCCTGTAATCCCAGCACTTTGGGAGGCCCAGGCGGGTGGATCACGAGGTCAAGAGATCGAGACCATCCTGGTCAACATGGTGAAACCCCGTCTCTACTAAATTTACAAAAACTTAGCTGGGCATGGTGGCGCGTGCCTGTAATCCCAGCTACTCAGGAGGCTGAGGCAGGAGAATTGCCTGAACCCAGGAGGCGGAGGTTGCGGTGAGCCGAGATCTCGCCATTGTACTCCAGCCTGGGTAACAAGAGCGAAACTCCGTCTCAAAAAAAGAGAAAGAAATAATAATAATAATAATAAGCCAGGGGAGGTGGCTCATGCCTGTAATCCCAGCACTTTGGGAGGCTGAGGTGGGTGGATCACAAGGTCAGGGGTTCGAGACTAGCTTGCCCAACATGGTGAAACCTGATTTCTACTTAAAAATACAAAAATTAGCTGGGTGTGGTGGCGCATACTTGTTATTCCCAGCTACTTGGGAGGCTAAGGCAGGAGAATTGCTTGAACCCGGGAGGTGGAGGTTTCGGAGAGCAGAGAGCGCACCATTGCACTCCAGCCTGGGGGACAGACAGAGACTGCGTCTCAAAATAATAATAATAATTAATAATAATAATAATTTAAAATTTAAGTTGGCCAAAAGAAAAATATATACTGTTTTTTAAATAATTACCTTTATTAGTGTTCTTTCATTTATTTTTTGATTATCATTATTTCTATTGAGATGAGTCTCACTCTGTTGCCCAGGCTGGAGTGCAATGGCACAATCGCTGCTCACTGCAACCTCCATCTCCCAGTTTCTTTTTTGAGACGGAGTTTCACTCTTGTTACCCAGTCTGGAGTGCAATGGCGCGATCTTGGCTCACCGTAACCTCCACCTCCTGGGTTCAGGCAATTCTCCTGCCTCAGCCTCCTGAGTAGCTGGGATTACAGGCGCCCACCACCATGTCCAGCTAATGTTTGTATTTTTAGTAGAGACAGGGTTTCACCATGTTGACCAGGATGGTCTCGATCTCTTGACCTCATGATCCACCCACCTCGGCCTCCCAAAGTGCTGGGATTACAGGCTTGAGCCACCGCGCCCGGCCATCCATCTCCCAGTTTCAAGCAATTCTCTTGCTTCAGCCTCCTGAGTAGCTGGGATTACAGGCGCCCACCACCATGTCCAGCTAATGTTTGTATTTTTAGTAGAGACGGGGTTTCACCATGTTGGCCAGGCTGGTCTCAAACTCCTGACCTCAGGTGATCCTCCTGCTTCGGCCTCCCAGAGTGCTGGGATTACAGGCGTGAGCCACCCATATGTTAGTTCTTTAGGCATATTTATAAGATGCTTTGAAGTGGGCTATGTCCAACATCTTGCCCTCTTATGGACAGTTTTATTTTTTTTTTTTTTGAGACAAAGTCTTGCTCTGTCGCCCAGGCTGGAGTACAGTGGTGCAATCTTGCCTCACCGTAATCTCTGCCTCCCAGGTTCAACTGATTCTCCTGCCTCAGCCTCCCAAGTAGCTGGGTGTACAGGCATGTGCCACCACACCAGCTAATTTCTCATATGTTGGTAGAGATGGGGCTTCACCATGTTGGCCAGGCTAGTCTTGAACTCCTGGTCTCAAGTGATCTACCTGCCTTGGCCTCCCAAAGTGCTGGGATTACAGGTGTGAGCCACTTTGCCTGGCCGGGGACAGTTTTTAAGAATCACTTTGTTTTATGGGCATGCCCTACGTATTCTTTTCTTTTTTTCTTTTTTTTTTTTAGAGTGTCTTGCTCTGTCCTCCAGGCTGGAGTTCAGTGGTATGATCTTGGCTCACTCACTCCTGGGTTCAAGTGATTCTCCTGCCTCAGTCTCCCAAGTAGCTGGGATTACTACTTGGGATCATGCCCGGCTAATTTTTGTATTTTTACTAGAGATGGGTTTTTCATCATGTTGGACAGGCTGGTCTCAAACTCCTGACCTCAACTGATAGCCCACCTCAGCCTCCCAAGGAGCTGTGATTTCAGGTATGAGCCACCGTGCCCAGCCATATTCTTGTTTCTTTGTATGTCTCATAATTTTCTAATTGATATTATTTTAGATAATATATTGTAGAGAAACTCTGAATTCTAATCCTTTCTGCAGCCCCCTGGGTGATGGTGGTGGTGGTGCTTAGTGACTTGGTCAGATGAATTCTGTAGGGTAAGTTTCCCGTGCAGGCTGTGGCTACAGAGGTATTTGCTAAATTAAAAAAAAAAAAAATCTGTAACATTTAAGTCTGGCTTCTTAAGGCTCACCCCTGGGTCACTGCAGCTTAGTGACCAATTACTGGTTCAAACACTCTTGGTTTCTCTGCAGATCGTATAAGTCTTTGGCCCTTTACAATTACTGGTTCGATATGGTGCTTAAAAACCCTGAACCAGGCTGGGCACAGTGGCTCACACCTATAATCCCAGCACTCTGGGAGACCAGGTAGGTGGATCACGAGGTCAAGAGATTGAGACCATCCTGGTCAACAAGGTGAAACCCCGTATCTACTAAAAATACAAAAATTAGCTGGGGATGGTGGCACGCCTGTAGTCCCAGCTACTCGGGAGGCTGAGGCAGGAGAATTGCTTGAACCCAGGAGGCAGAGGTTTCAGTGAGCTGAGATCGTGCCATTGCACTCCAGCCTGGGTAACAAGAGCGAAACTCCGTCTCAAAAAAAAAAAAAAACAACAACCCTGAACCAGGGCGGGCGTGGTGGCTCACACCTATAATCCCAGCACTTTGGGAGGCCGAGGCAGGTGGATCACAAAGTCAAGAGATTGAGAACAGCCTGGCCAACATGGTGAAACCCCGTCTCTACTAAAAATACAAAAATTAGCTGGGCATGGTGGCACACGCCTGGCCTGTAGTCCCAGCTACTCGGGAGGCTGAGGCAGGAGAATTGCTTGAACCCAGAAGGCAGAGATTGCAGTGAGCCGAGATCGTGCCATTGCACTCCAGCCTGGGTAACAAGAGTGAAACTCCGTCTCAAAAAAAAAAAAACAAAAGTTAGCCGGGCATGGTGGCGCGAGCCTGAGGCTCACGCCCGGCTAATTTTGTGTTTTTAGTAGAGACGGCGTTTCACCATGATGGCCAGGCTGGTCTCAAACTCTTGGCCTCAATGTGGGCCACCAAGCCCAGCCTTCTGATAGCCTTTTCAAAGGAGGCAATCAGATATACATCTGTCTCAGTGAGGAGAGAGGTGACTATGAATCGGATGGGAGGCAGGTTTTCCCTAAGCAGTTTCCAGCCTGAGTTTTTAGTGATTTTGGGGGCCTCAGATACTTCCCTTTCACATATCATAGGTACTGAGTCTCCTGGTTGAACTTCTGACTTCGCTCTCAGATATGGAAAGCTCTGACAAGGCTTATTTTTGCATCTGTTAGGTCTCAAATGCCTTCGGTTTAAAATAACCTTCACATCCACTCTGGGGTTCCGAGTGGGTCCCCAGAGCTCGAAATAACCCAAGGAGGGACGAGGGGGCGAAGGAAAGTCGATGGAAGTCTGGCGGCTGCAGAAACCCAGGGCGGGCAAGGCCCCCGAGGGTTGATTTTTCGCAACGGAGCGGCTGTCCGCGGCGGCAGGTGCGTGGGTTCGCGGCAGGGCTCGGGGCCGCTTTAGGAGAGAACAGGATGAAGCCCGGAATTCGAACTCAGGCGCCAGGCGGCGCTGGGCCTCAGCGCCCACGTTCTACCAGCGGTCCGGGCCTTATGTGCACCTCAGCGAAGCCGGATTTCCACACGGCCGGCGCCCCGTTTCTAGCGAACAGTCGGTGAGTCCCGGCGAGTCCGGACCCCTCTGGCCGAGGCCTGCCGGGCACGGTGCTGACCTCGGCCTCTGACCTCAGACCCCGGCCGCGAGCTCTCTGTCGCCGGGCCCTCGGAGCCGGGTGCGGTTTCCGGGGGACACGTTTCCCGTTGTACCGTGGGCCGCCCGGACCGCGCAGGACGCGGCACCTTCCGGTGGCGGCGCGGAGCCCTGGGCCCGGCTGCGGCCCGGCTGCGGCCCCGGCGCGGTGCTGCCGTTCCCGGAGGCCCGAGCGCGGCAGGGGCCCCGGGCGTCGGCGTAGCCGGAGCGGGGCGGGCCCGGGACACAGGCGGCCGGCGCCCTCAGAGCCAAAGGCGCGCGACGGACACGGCGGGGCACTCGAGCGGTGAGGACGCGGGGGCTCCTGTCAGTTCATATCTCGGACGCTGCCCGCCGCGTGGCTCGGGCTGAGGCTCTCGAGGGGCGCCCTGTGGCGTTTCGGGCCAGCCGGGCCGCCGGGCTGCCTGGCCGGGCGCGGAGAGGGAAGCTCTGCCCTTCCCCTGGCCCGGCGCGGGGCCGATTCTCCCGGCAAGGGGCCCGGGGGTCCGTGCAGGGCCCTGCCGCGGCGTCTCCCTGCCAGGGTCCTAACTTCACCGTAGGGCGGTCTGCTCAGGGCCAGGCCCGCTGGGACGCTGGCGTAGCGGTTTCTTCCCCCTTCTCGGCATTCCTACCAGGCCGACATCTAGCCCCACTCCCCAGGGAGGGTCAGGGCCTAGGGGCCCAGCGGCTCCCTCGAGGTCCACTGGGACGTGGCGGCCCTGGAGTGGTCTTTCTCCAGCCAGCACCGACCCCCACGTTTAGTGCCCCCAGCGTGTCACCCAGCGGTGGTAGTAGAGCAGCCTTAGAAGAGTGACCGCTGCCTCTGAGTCTTACGCCTGTCGTTGGGCTTGGCTGAGCCCTGGGTCTGCTCCTTTCCTCCAGCCTGGAGACGATGCCAAAGCTGCAGGGCTTCGAGTTCTGGAGTCACACCCTTCGGGGGGCCCGCCACGTGGTGGCCCCTATGGTGGACCAGAGTGAGCTGGCCTGGAGGCTGCTGAGCCGGCGCCACGGGGCACAGCTCTGCTACACGCCCATGCTGCACGCCCAAGTCTTCGTCCGCGACGCCAATTACCGGAAGGAGAACCTGTACTGCGAGGTGTGCCCCGAGGACCGGCCCCTCATCGTGCAGGTGAGCAGGAGGGGTTGTGGCTGTGATAGTGTTGGGTCTCAGCCCCTGGAATGCCTGGGGAAGAACCCTTCCCTCTATGGTGGGACATCACTCTCAGCCTTTCCAGAGATAGCTTCCCAATTCCAGGAGGAGAGGGAGAAGGTGGTGCCAGGTGCGGAGAGTCCACGCAGCCACATCAGTGATTCCTGTGGCCCAGCCAGGGCTGCAGGTGCACTTCCCAGAGTCCAACCCCATTCCTAGGAGCTCGCTCAGGCAGCGCTCCTGGCACACCCTGGATTGCCGCCTCTCACACACTCTCTCTTCAGAACAGTAGAGATGCCTCTGCTCTCCAGAAGTCAGTGATTGTGGCTTCTGCCACAGTTCAGAAGAAAATCTGTAAATCTGGGTGGTTTCATGACTCCTCCGGCTCTGTCATATTGTAAGCCTCGGCAGGACAGGACACCCTCCTGCAGTGAACCTGGGCCCACACTCTCATGGGGTCACAGTGGACCTCTCATAGGGCTGGGCAGCAAGTGACTGGCGCCTGGCTGGGCTCATGGCTGACTCCTTTATCTTCTGCAGTTCTGTGCCAATGACCCGGAGGTGTTTGTTCAGGCGGCTCTCTTGGCTCAGGACTACTGTGACGCCATCGATCTGAACCTGGGCTGCCCACAGATGATAGCCAAGAGAGGTGAGCTCCACATGGAGCATGGGGGCTCTGGGGGCAGGAGCCAGAGCCAGCTCAGGGCAGCCCCAGGTGTGATGAGCTTGGAGGATGGCAGGCCCTGCCTCTGTCATAGGCTGGAGCTAGTCGTCCTCTGTGTTTTGCCTCTGGAGGGTGCTGTCCTCAGGCCCCCAGGGCTGTGGTCTGAGCCCTGCTGGCTCTCACTTCCCTCAGGGAACTCCTGCATAAACATGATTGCTGCCAGGGGGTCCCCTCACCCCTTGCACTGCTGTGTGTGGGGTCCAGCCTGTCTACCTCACTGGGCCTCTGAGGAGGTGTTGCTTGGTCCCAGACTGTGGGGCAGGGGTTCCATTTAGCACCTTCTGAGCTTATGCAGCTGGGCAAATAGAGCCCGAGTCTGATGCCAACAAACCACTAGACTGTTCCACTGCCACAACTAGAGACACCGCTGGTTCTGGGGACTTGTGGGGCAGCTCCTGGCCTGCGTGGACAGAGGAGGGGTGCAAGGCCTCGGCCCCACCTGCCTGAACACAGGTGTCAGCCAGGCCGTGCTTGTTCTTTGCAGGTCACTATGGCGCCTTCCTGCAGGACGAGTGGGATCTGCTCCAAAGAATGAGTGAGTTGGCTGCGTGGGTGGCGAGGAACCCCGAGGCCCTTGAGAGGGACACATCGGCACTGTCCACTTGGTGGGGCTCAGGAGAGGACAGGTGTTGGCAGGGGCTCCTGGCAGCACCCTGGGGGTTCCTGCCCACAGCAGGCTCTGCTGGAAGGAGGTGGCCGTGAAGTTGCCCGTCCTGTGCCACTTGCCTCTTAACACCAGGCAGTAGGTGCCAGGGCAGAGTCCTTGCTCAGGTCCAGCGAGACAGAGCTGGCCTTGGCCCTACTTGTTTGAACCTTAGAGGGCTGGGGGAATGGCGGAGGGAGCCTGCCCAACAACCTGAGGGTGATGCTCAGATGGCCCGGGCTGCCTCTCAGCCCCCCGGCAAAGCTGCTGGCTTTGCTGTCTGTCAGGCCTTGGGCTCTGGGAACACCATGGTCCCCTCAGAAGCTGCCTCTCTTCTCCCCAGTTTTGTTGGCTCACGAGAAACTCTCTGTTCCCGTCACGTGCAAAATCCGTGTCTTCCCAGAGATTGACAAGACCGTGAGGTACGCCCAGATGCTGGAGAAGGCCGGCTGCCAGGTGAGCCCTGGGCTCGCATGGGTGTATGGGCCTCAGCTAGGCCTTTATGCAGAGGACACAGCTGAGGCTCTTCCTGTGTCCACTCAGATACTGTGCACCGTTGGCCTCATAGGGGCAGTGGCTCTCCTGACTGGCCTGTCCCCACTGGCTCTGAGTGCCACCACCTCCAGCCCAGGCCTCTACATCAGAAACTGCTTTCCTGGCTCCAGGGTTTTGTCCCTGCGGAGAGTAATATCAGGGTCTTCACCATGTTCCTAGCATCCTAGAGGCTGGCAGGGTCTCCTTTTGGGATGCTCAGCTTCTAGTCTCCAAGAGGGTCAGGAAGGAACCACCTGGCTGTCAGCAGAGTTGCTCCCCTGCCTGTGTTCCCTGCACACTGAGCCTGTCCTGGCACAGGCCTGGATGGGCTGCTGTCCCCAGGGATGCCCCTTAAGACACTCACCTGGAGGCGGACAGCAACCTCCATCACCCAGGGATGAGGCTTGCCCAGGGGCTGTGGACCCAGTGCCCCACCAGCCTGCAATCAGCCTGGAACCAGTCTCTCCCACACCTTTGGCTTGGGGCAGTGGGGACGCTGCCACTTCCCAGCCTGGCTGTTGTGTGGGTCTGGGCAGCACATGCAGCCTGGGGCTCCCTTGGAGTGCAGAGACCTTGGGGCAGGCCCTGGACGGCCATTCCTCAGCCCTGCTTCAGGAACTGAGATGCTGAGGGAAAGTCCATGGAATTGGACACAGGACTCAGAAGGGCAAAGGGTGGAGGGGGCTCAGAGGGGCGGAGGGTCTTGGAGGGGTCAAACGACCGCTGGTCTATCCTAGTTGCTGACCGTTCATGGGCGCACCAAGGAGCAGAAGGGGCCCCTGTCGGGTGCAGCGTCCTGGGAGCACATTAAGGCTGTGCGGTGAGTGGACATGGACGAGAGCGGTGGGTGATGCAGCCCTCAGTCCTTGGGGCTTTGGTGGGGGTCCCAGCTCCACACCTCAGGGTGCTCCGCACACCTGACACCTGTGACCACCAAGGGGGCTGGGGCTGAGGCTGGGGACAGCATCGCTGTTGGAGCAGAAGCTACCTGCCAGGATAGAGTCGGGGGTGTCTGGGGCCTGGGCGCTGTCCTGGGTGGGTTGAGGGACAGGTGTTTCTCTGCCAACAGGAAAGCTGTGGCCATCCCTGTGTTTGCCAATGGGAACATCCAGAGCCTACAGGATGTGGAGCGCTGCATCCAGGACACGGGTGTACAGGGTGTCATGAGTGCAGGTGAGTGCAGGTCGGCAGAGCCCAGGACACACCTGGGGCCTGTGCACATGCCCTGATGCCACTGCCCAGGTCAGCGCCTCCCACCGCTTATTGCCCTCCCTACAATGCTCTTCACAGATAGTGTTCTTTGGTCCCATTCTGCTCTCATGGGCCTGAGCTGGCCTTGTCCCTGGTGTGAGGTGGCCCAGAAGAGTGTCCTGGGCTCTCTAGGCTTTCCTCTGCCATCCACCTGGAGCAGCCCACAAGGCTTCCCTCTCCATTCTCCTCCCACAGAAGGCAACCTGCACAACCCTGCCCTGTTTGAGGGCCGGAGCCCTGCTGTGTGGGAGCTGGCCGAGGAATACCTGGACATTGTGCGGGAGCACCCCTGCCCACTGTCCTACGTCCGGGCCCACCTCTTCAAGCTGTGGCATCACACGTGAGTCATCCCTATGGCAGAAGCCACTTTGGTGGGTTGCCCAGGCAGAGACCATCAGAGCCCGTCTGAGGCATTTCTGCAAGTTTTGTCAAAATAACTTGCTGCTAAGTCAGGTCTTGAGGGGCTGGGGTGACAGGAGTGGAGCTGGGCAGGAGTGTGCCCAGCACTCAGCCTGGGGCCTGGTGGTGGAGCAGGGAGCCCACCCCTCGTGACAGGGCCTCTGTCTCAGGCTGCAGGTGCATCAGCAGCTGCGAGAGGAGCTGGCCAAGGTGAAGACCCTGGAGGGCATTGCCGCCGTGAGCCAGGAGCTGAAGATGCGGTGTCAGGCACGTGCTGGGACTGGTGGGAGCCCGGCCTTGTCATGGGTGAGGCATTGGGGCTGTGACCAGGGCCTTGGGCTTTTGCAGGAGGAGATATCCAGGCAGGAGGGAGCAAAACCCACCGGCAACTTGCCCTTCCACTGGATCTGCCAGCCCTATGTCCGGCCGGGGTGAGTGCTCCACCCACCCTCTGCCCGCAGTGGTGCACCTGCCCCGCATGTCCTCAGCCATCAGGGTCAGCTCCCACCCCAGAGGGAAAGGAGGAGGGGGGCTGTGGATCCCAGCAGCATGCACCTTCCGTGTGCCCCTTGGCATCCTTGGTGGAGGGTGCTGGTGGCTCAGCCTCCCTCAGTGGACACTTGGATTTTAAATATCTTTTTTTTTTTTTTTTTGAGACAGTCTCACTCTGTCACCCAGGCTGGAGTGCAGTGGCACGATCTTGGCTCACTGCAACCTCCATCTACCAGGTTCTAGTGATTCTCCTGCCTCAGCCTCGAAAGCAGCTGGGACTACAGGCATCTGTCACCATGCCCAGCTAATTTTTGTATTTTTAGTAGAGATGACGGGGGGTTTCACCATGTTGGCCAGGATGGTCTTAATCTCTTGACCTCGTGATCCACCCGTCTTGGCCCACCACGCTCTGCCTTAAATCTTTTAAGATACCTCTCTGAGCTCCTCTGATCCTGGTAGATTTGTCCGTGGGTCAAGAGGTTGACCCCAGCTTCCACTGGGTTCTCAGAGGTGAGGCCCATCTGTGGCCACAGACCTGCTTGTGGCCACAGACCTGCCTGGACCTGGTGGCTCAGACCTTGGCCTGCTTGAGCTGCAAACTCCATCCCAGGGGGCCCAGCCTCCCTAGCAGCCACTCCTGAGAGGGCTGCATGCTTGCTCACGCTGCTCAGCAACCGCACTCACCACAGCCACCTGGCCTCTCCTCACCCTGGGTCCTCACTTGGGGTCCAACCCATGTGGCTGTGGCTGCTGGGCCCCTCACCGTGTCCTTGGGCTCTGCCCACTGCCGTCCCCACAGGCCCAGGGAGAGGAGTAAGGAGAAGGCAGGTGCACGAAGCAAGCGGGCCCTGGAGGAGGAGGAGGAATGTGGCACGGAAGTCCTGTCCAAGAACAAGCAGAAGAAGCAGCTGAGGAACCCCCACAAGACCTTCGACCCCTCTCTGAAGCGTAAGTGTTGATGGGCCCGAGACAGCAGCCTCTTTATCCTGTCTCCTCCGATGCCAGTGACAGGAACCCAGACTTGTGGTCAGTGAGGCTCAAGGCCCAGAGCTGGAAGCAGATGCCCTGGGGGCTTGGAGTGGTCAGCCAGACATGGGGTCTGAGTGCTTGAACCTGTGCAGGCCACACATGTGGGACGTAGCTCAGTGAATCAGATGAGGCTGTGGGACAAGCCTCTCAGCCAGGTGCCACCCAGGTGGCCACTGAGGGGCTCGTCTGCAGGTCAGGGCCTGGGGTTGCTGCAGCTGTCCCTGCCCAGCCTTACACTGAGCAGCCACTGAGAGGGTGGCAGGGGTATGCAGGAGTGTGTGCATGGCTCTTGTTGCTGGGCTACAGGTGGCAGCAGGACAGGCTGGGTCAAACGGGATGAAGGTGCTCACCCCTCTCCTCATGGCCACCAGCAACAAGGCCTCAACCCGTTGCCATCTTCCCTGAGAATCCTGGTGCCCCTCACATCCTGGGCCAACCCCTCTGGGCCCTCAGCACGTGGCAGCCTCCTGGATTTCTCTGACAGCTTTACAAGCTGCAAGGGAGACCACTGATAGTCCTGCAACCTTCCCAGGGGGCTGGCCAGTTCACAAGCAGCTGCCACATCAGTTTGGTGCCAACAATCTTCAACTGCCACACTGCCCCCTTGGGCCACTGCATGAGGCAGCTGGGAGAGGCAGGAAATGGGGCTTTGGGCTGAGTTCTTGATCCTTGGCCCTTTTGCGTGGCAGACCTGACACTGAAGGGTATGGAACCCCCTTGGACCCTGTGGATGGAAACACCCCTCCCATTTTCCCCGCCTGGGAGTGGGACAGAAACCGACCCACTTCCTATCCATTTCCTGTAGGATGGTCCCCCCACAGCCCCTCACCCGTCCCTTGCTGAGGGAAAAGCAGACATGGCCAACCTGCATCCTCTGCCCTCCCAGAGCCTCCTGACCGGGCTGGCCGCAGCTGGCATGGACGCCGTCACCCCTATAGCCAGGCCACCCAGCTCTCACTCACCAGCACCCTTTTCTTTTCCCAGCAAAATATGCAAAGTGTGACCAGTGTGGCAACCCAAAGGTGAGTTGAGTGGGTTCCAGCTGCAGGCCGCCAAGGCTTCGCCTCTGGGGGGTAGGCAAGGTGGTCCCTGTGCTGCTTGGGGTGGCAGGTCTGGTGCCCACCCAACTGGGTTTGTAGTGTGGCCCAAGGTGGCATGGGTGCCTCAGGAGGGCCCCTTGCTTCCAGCCAGCCCCCTGTCCAGGCCTGGAGTGGGAATGAGTCTGGGTGGGTTGGGGTGAGGGGGGTCCCAGGGCTGCATCCAGGCCATGGGGTTTGCTGGAGGCTTCCTCGGCGGGCTGCTCCCCTGCTGGCTATCTGTCCCCGGGAGCCATGCTGGCTACAGGCTCCCCAGCTTTCCTGTGCCCAGGGCAACAGATGTGTGTTCAGCCTGTGCCGTGGCTGCTGCAAGAGGAGAGCCTCCAAAGAGACCGCGGACTGCCCAGGTGAGGCTGCCTGCCACCCGCCGCCCCCCCAGTGAGCAGACAGACCCCTCTGCCTCCTGACCCCCGACTCCTCTCTCACTCTGCCAGGTCACGGATTGCTTTTTAAAACCAAATTGGAGAAGTCTTTGATCTGGAAAGGGACCCAGCCTGAGCTGCAGGAGCCTCAGACGGCCACGCCTGGCACACCAGGTGGCTTCTCAGAAGTCATGAGTAGTGCTCTGGCCTGAAGGCCCAGAACCCCCACCCCCAGGACCGCTCCTGGAGCCTGGACACATCCTACTTAAGGAAACGTCTTTTACTCAGGGAATCTCCCCTTACTTAACGTGGAAAGAAGCGCTCTGTCCCCCTTGGCCCGCTCTGGGGGCCTGGAATGCTGCAGTGGGAAGCAGGCCCCAGGCTGGACCTGCCCTGTCCTCAGAACGCGTGTGCAAAAGTGAACAATAAATCATTTCAAAAATGCCAGAGCCATAGCCTATGATCGCCGCCCCCCAGACCCAGGGAGGCACGAGCCAGGGCAGGTGCTGTTGGGGCCAGTGGGGGCTTCTGAACAACAAGATCTATCTAAATGAAGGCAGCGCACATGCATCTGTGCAGAGGATTGTGGGGAGTGACTGACTTAGGGCCCAACCCTGCCTCCCCCATAGGCTGGCTCTATGACCAGAGCTCCGGGAGCTTCCTGATGCTGTCAGCCTTGGAAGCACAGCCTGTGGGGCAACAGGGGCCAATGCTGGGGGCTGTTGAGCCTAAGGGACTCCTGCCTCCAAGCTGAGCCCCAGGGAGCCAGCCTTCAGGAACCCAAGGCCACCCAGGGGTGACCAGAGCCTACACAGCAGGAAGGAACAGCCAACGGCAACGCTCAGTCTGCTTTTTAATGGATACTGCCCACTTGTCTGCACCTAACCAAGGTGGGAACAAGAGGGGTCTGGGAAGTGGTGCCAGTGGGCCTGGGTGCCGCAGTCTGCTCCCTAGGGACAGAAACCCATGGGGTTGAGCCCTCCAGGCCTCTCTTTCCAGGAAGAGCCACAACTAGCAGCTGCCTGCCTCCCCAGCCCCAGCAAGGGCATGCAGGCTGGGGAGCACCCAGTAGCCAGGCCCCCAGCTGGGCCAAATGCAGCACTGAGCTGCCTGGAAGTGAACAAGTCCATGGGGTGGGGGCAGGGTGCAGATGTCCTGGAGGCCAAGCACCACCCCTCACATGTTGGTGCTCATCCGGGACTGGCTGTTGGCTGGAGTCAGCTCCCCCTGGCTCCCTTCTCTGGGTGGGGACTGCCAAGGAAATGAGGAGCAGCTAAGCCAACAGGCCCCACAGGCCACACGCCACACCTGCCCACCCATTTTGACGCCTGCCCACCTTGACATGGATCTGGTTGCGGAGCACGGCTGCCCGTAGCATCATGGCCTTGGCACGGCGCTGGAACTCCTTGCCCATCAGCAGAGACTTCTCAAAAGTGGTGCTGCGCTGATCCACGTCCCGGGCGTACAGGATCTGCACAGACACAGGCTCAGTGGGGCTCAGGCTCCCCCACAGCCACCCCCACAGCCCCGTAGCCCACGGCCACCTTGCTGTGGGAGTCCACGCGGGCACTGATCAGTCCCTCCAGGATTAGCTGTGTCAGCTCGTCCTCCAGGGCGGCCACCGTGGTGTTGAAGGCTGCCGCCATCCTGTGCATGTCGGCCGACACATAGGGACTGAAATACTGCAGGGCACAGGGAAGTCAGCTCCACCGTGCCCTACATGCCCACCCACCTGCCCGTTGTGTGCCAGCCTGACCCCCACGCTTACCTGAATGAGGGCACGGTTGCGAATCTGGGTGTACAAGGTCCTGACGTGGGGGGCCAGATACATGTCCAGGAGCAGGTTGTCCTGGGGAAGGGGCTGGTCAGAACCGGGACAGGAGGCCAGGCAGGACCGAATCTCACCCCCACCCCAGGCCAGACCCCACCTTCATCTCGTCCAGCATCTTGAGGCACGAGGCGTACTTGGACTCATAGAATTTGAAAATGATGTCTCGAACCTGCGGCTCCAGCTCCAAGAACAACTTGAAGGAGCTGCCAAGGCAGACCCTCAGGTCTCAGTCCTCTGCCTGCCCCTGCCCTCCAAGTTGCCAGTGGGACACCAGTCCCCAGACAAACAGCTGGGAAGATGGTGGGGCCAGGGGGCCAGGATGTACAAGGCCAAAGAAGTAGCCTGTGGAGAAGGATGGGGACTGCAGGACCAGGGCACCCACCTGCTGGAGATGACATTGCGCTGCAGCTCTTGCCGGTCAAAGGTAGCCAAGGCACACAGGCCACCATAGATGGCCACATTGCTGGGGGACAGCAGCTGAGAAGCAGAGACCCGGCATCACAGGCAGAGAAGGGCCAGGCCACCCCTGCCCCATCATCCATTCAGAGAATGCCTAAGACTCCACTGTGAGAGAACCCACTCTCCTACAAAAGCAGTCCAACCCATGAACCCATACTCGGTCTCCCAAGTCCCCAAGAGGGTCCCTTACCTCAGGGAAGTCACAGTGATCAAAGGAAGCCAGCAGAAAGCACTTGGCAGCCTGCTTGTACTTCCTTGCTGCCAGCTCCGCCAAGCCTAGTGGAGGGGGAGTGGTGGGAAAGAAGGGTATGAGACCCAGAGCCTCAGGGAAGCCGCTAATGCCTTGAGACCAGGAGGAAGGTGACCATCAGCGGCTTGCTGGCCTCTCCTGCCCAGGAGCTGTTCCTCAGCACTGGGGATAGATACTCTAGTCCTAGATGGAAACAGCTTCACCTGTGCCCAGCAGGCTCCCTGAAGCTAGGCGTGCAGGGAAGCCTTAGGTTGCCAGCATGGCTGCAAAGGACACCGGGCTCAGAGCGGCTTGGGCTGCAGACCCACCCCAGGCCCACAGTGACAGCAGCCAGACCCTGACATGTCACCCCTGGCTTACCTGGGGCAGACTAGGCACCACCTACACCCACACACGTGCCCTACAAATCCTGCGTCCTGCCAGGGAAGGTTTCCCCGGCTGAGGTAGGGACCAGTTACTGCCCTGGGTTGGGAGGACTCAATAACACGGGAGCATGGGGCCAGCTGAGCACAACCCAGGCCCTTACCTGCGGCACACTTGAGCTTAGTGAGGATGGCCTGGGTCTGGCTGTCACGTTCTCCTCGCTGCTGTAGGGGGAAGCCACATGTGTGAGGCCCATTTCCTGGAGCTTGATGCCCAGTCCCCAGACTGAGGGGAGAAGGCAGATTCATTGGGGGAGAACAAGGTGGCAGGGGGAGGACAGAAGGGGCCAGGAGTGGTCAGGAATCCTGGGGCAAGGTCTCTGAGGTGGCAGCCTGTACCTCAGCAATCTCCGGGGTGGACTCGGCCTTGCTGACATAGCTCAGCACGTGAGACCAATTCTGCAAGTAGACGCTGACCTGGTGGGCGAGGGCAGGGCCAAGTAAGCCTGGGTGGCCTGATGGCCCAGCCATACTGCCCCCGCCCACCCGTTGAGGCAGGCCGACCTTGATGACATTGAGGCACATGTTGATGACATGCTTGGCGCTGGTGCAGTAGTCCCGGGCCCGGGAGTAGCACTTGAGGGCGTTGCTGAGGTCCCCACAGTCCAGGTAGTGGTCGCCCAGATCGTCGTGGCCACGCCGGATGCTCTCCTTGATGGAATTGCCCTTGTAGTTCTTCAGGTCCGTGTCTAGCTTCTCCAGCTTCAGCAGGGCTTTCTTCCGCGTGGCCTCCACCCAGGCTGTGTCCAGGGTTGGGGGCTCCACACCACTCTCAGGGATGGCATCAGGTGCGTTCTGCAGCTCCCTGAGAGAGGACCTGGCCATCAGGATGGCGATGGTCACAGGCGCCACGGAGGAGAAAAGGAAGCCACCAGCCTAAGGCTGCCCTCACAGCCCTAACCAACACGCAGGTGGGCCTCTCCCACTGGCCCCAAACCCCATCTCCAGGGACCAGTCTGCACCAGGGCCGCAGCAATAACTGCTAATGCCAGGAGCCCACAGCCAGGTAGAGAAGCCAGAAGGGGGGATGCCCTGAGCCACAGTCTCCAACAGCTCCCCTCAGAATCAAATCCCTCTGTGCACACGAACAGGAGAAGCCACACCACAGAGGGCACTTCCACTCTCCACCCACTCTCCACCCGCCCGACTTCCATCGCAGCGGCACAGGAAGGGGGCCCAGCCCCAGATACCTGCTCCCTTGGAGGTCTCTGCTTTCTCTCACCAAGTCCCTGGCCTCACCTGGTGGCCTCTGAGAGCTTGCGGTGGATCTCCTCATACATGTCGACATTGAAGGTTCTCTGCACGAAGGAGAGGGCCATCTTCAGGGCCTCCACCCGAAGTGTGGGGCAGTGATCAGCAATGAACTGCAGCCGCTCGATTCGCATCAGGCCGCTGTAGCTGGCTGCATACTGCTCCAGATCCTGCGGGTGGGCGCAGACAGGCCAGGCAGGGTGTGTGAGGTGGGACACCGGCCCCAGGCCTGAGGGTCAGGAGCTGGTGCCCAATTGTCTCCCAGCCAGAATGCCACCCTGGGCCCACAACAGGAACCGGGCACATGGGCACAGGGGTGCAAGACTGACTGCTGTCTCAGGTGCTGCAGAGATGGCTGGGTGGGCCTGGGGAAGCACCCAGTTTCAGGGATGGACACCCACTAGAGACTGCTGGTCGCTGGGCTGAGCGGGGTGGGGGTCGGGGGGAGACTGACCCTGGCTCCTCTGTGAGCAGCATCTGAAGCTGAGCCACAAGCCTGATGTGAATGGACAATTAGAAACTGATGGTTTCGGGGTCAGAAAAAGACACGACACAGATCACTGATAAGGATCGGTCTATCTGCTGTGCAGGCTGCGGAGGGGAGTCTGCCCTGGATCCCCACAGGCGGAACTAAGACACCCAAGGTCCCACACTGGGCTCCATACCAGGGTGGGGTTCTCCACCACGTAGTTGACATCAGGTGCATTCTGCGGGTCTTCCTGGGGGTCCACGTCGATCTGCATGGGCTCCACGGCCCCCTGCAACATGGGCCGGGCACCTGGCACCTCGTTCTGGGGACTGCCCCAGGAGGGCAAGAGACCTGCACTGTTCTCTGAGCTCAGCTCTGCCAGAGGTCTTTCGGGCTGATCAGACCACACTCCCACTGCTGTTGTTCCCCAGGTGTGCCCTCCCAGCCACACTCACTCCCACCCAGGCTCCTGCACCACCACATCAGGGAGGGATCTCCTCACAAAACTCCAAAGCTCAGAAGCAGAAACCCCTTGCCTGATTCTAGCTGCTTATCTCTGAAAGCCAGAAAGCAGACACGGAACAACCAACGACACAGGGGCTCCTGAGGGCCCCTACATGTTCCCGGTCACCGTCCTGATGCAGTTTCCTCCAAGCCACAAAGAACCGGATGCCACCTCAACCCCGAGACAAGAGGGCTGACCCCGGAATCTGTCCTGAGCAGGGGAGCAGCAATACCGGGCCGAGAGTCACGCCACGGGTTGGGAGAAGGGGGAAAGAGTCATCTCAGGGAGCCCCACGGCCCCCAGCTGTGAGACACAGAGGAGCCAGGATCTCGGTTTAAAACAAAGCAGGCTGGAAAAGCCGCCGTGCCGAGACCACGCCGGATCCGTGGGCCTCCCGCTCTCCTTCGGGAAAAGCACCAAGAGCTCGGCTCCCTCCGCAGGCCCCGGGCCCACCGGGGCGCCCTCCCCTCCTGCGCTTAGCACTGCGTCCCTGTCCTCGGCCGGCAGAGCAGCAGGGGCCCGGCCACAGCGGGGGCGGCCAGGGCCCTGCTCCCCCCTCCCTCGCTCGGGGGTCCCTGTCCTGGAAGGTACCTCGTAGAGCAGCGTACAGGCCGACAGGCTGGCACTCAGGCTGAAGTCCCCGGCCGTGCCGGGCAGGACGAGGTCTGACCTACTGCTGTGAGGGGCGCAGTACAGATCTGTCACTGACGAGGAGGCCGAGCTGGGGGCCGAGCTATCCCTCATTCTGTCCTGACTTTCTGCACCCCCCGACCCTGACACAGAGCTGGCTGGCTGCTGAAGGGAGAAAAAGCGTTAGCGTTGGGCGGCCGGGAACCGCTCCCGTGAGCTGCTGGGAGGGAGGCGGGGCGGGCGCAGCCCCGGGGCCCCCGACCGGAGCGCGCAGCCAAGGCGGAGACGCACGAAGCGCGCCCCGCGACTCCTGGCGCAGGCCCCGCTCCCCGGCTCTACCTCGGCCCGGCCCCGGCGGCGAGGGGCGCGGGGGCACGGAGGCCTGGTGCGGCCTCGGCTCGTTACCTGTAAGTTAAACACCTGAACCGGCAGCGGCATCTTGCACCCACCCCGCCGCGGCGTGCCGTCCACTTCCGGGACAGTGGGGCCTCTTCTTCCGGGGCGCGGGGCGGGGCGGAGCCGCCGGGGTCTTAAAGGGGCCGCAGTCCGCCCGCGGCTCCGGCCAGGCCCTCCCTTCCCGGCGCCGGGGTTACCGGCGGCCGCATGAGCCGTGCGCGCGGGGCGTTGTGCCGGGCCTGCCTCGCGCTGGCCGCGGCCCTTGCCGCACTGCTTCTGCTGCCGCTGCCCCGACCGCCCGCCCCGGCCCGGACTCCCGACCCGGGCCCGCGCGCTCCCCCGCCCGCGTCCGCCGCCCCCAGCCTGAGGCCCGACGAAGTCTTCATCGCCGTCAAGACCACCCGGAAGAACCACGGGCCGCGCCTGCGGCTGCTGCTGCACACCTGGATCTCCCGGGCCAGCCGGCAGGTGCGCCGGACCCCGATCCCGTCGGCGAGCTCCACTCCTACCCGCCCCGGCTCGCAGAGTGTAGACCCGGTCCAGGCCCCGGAGGCTCCGCGTGGGGCGTGTCGGTCCCCGGCCTGGACAGCGCCCCCGACGTCTCAAAGATTTTTTTCTCCCCCAGACGTTCATCTTCACCGACGGGGACGACCCTGAGCTCCAGCTCCAGGGCGGTGAGTGTCTCCCGAGCCCCGGCGCCCGCAGGACCTTCCTCCCAAGCCCTTTCCCTCCTCGCCCCGGAGCGGCGGCCCTTGCACTGCTGTGAGTTCAGAAGGTCCGGGGAGGCCACGCACGGCGCTGCCCAGGTCACACAGCCTGCGGAGGCCCACCCTACCAACCAAGCTCTGCTCCCCACCAGCCCCTCACACTGGCCGCCTCCCAGGATGTGGGGCTACTGCCAGGTCCCCTGGAGAAGCCCGACCAGGGAATCCGCCCTTCCAGCCCAAGTCAGGGTGAGCTACGTCCATCCTCTTTCCACTCAAGATATCCCAGCGAATGGCCATCAGCTTTAGCCCCAGGGGCACCAGCAGGGTCAGTGCATGAGGGCCAGGGCAGTGGTTGGACCTAGGCAAGGTGTCCGGGCATGTCAGACAGCCAGATTGTGCCCTGGCCCTGGGGGGCAGGTGGGCACAGGCCTTACCCCAGTCCCCGTGCCAGCCTCCACCTGCTTCCTGTCTCCAAATTGCAGGCGGCCGTGTCATCAACACCAATTGCTCCTCGGTTCGTACCCGCCAGGCTCTCTGCTGCAAGATGTCCGTGGAGTACGACAAGTTTATCGAGTCAGGTCGCAAGTATGTGGCACTGCCCGACCTGCAGAGCCCAGAACCAAGCTGGGTGGGGGCCTCCCGTCCACCTGTGCCAGGCCCTCACACACAGGACTCCCCCCCACCCACAGGTGGTTCTGCCACGTAGATGATGACAATTATGTGAACCCCAAGAGCCTCCTGCACCTGCTTTCCAGCTTCTCACCCAGCCAGGATGTCTACCTGGGACGGCCCAGCCTGGATCACCCCATCGAGGCCACAGAGAGGGTCCAGGGTGGCAGAACTGTGAGTGCTGGGGCAGACCCCATCCCTGACGCCAGCCTGGGAGGCACAGCAGAGGGCATGGAAAGCTGGGTGAGAAGGGCATAGGGCCAGGCCCAAGCTGACCTACCCAGGTGGTTTGCACGTGGTGTTTCAGGAGCAGGCCAGGCCCCCGACCTGATACCGACAGTGAGCCTGGGACTGGGCCAGGTGGGGAGGGTCTGGAGACCATGGATCAATGACCTGTAGAAGCCACCAGCTCCTCCTGCCCCAGGAAGCTTCTGTTAAGGGGCAGCTTAAGAAAGAAGACTGGGGCGTCTCGTGAAGAGTTAGGGGTGAGAAGCCCTGTCTCCAGCAGCTCTGACCAGCACCCCATCCGCAGGTGACCACGGTCAAGTTCTGGTTTGCTACTGGTGGGGCCGGGTTCTGTCTCAGTAGAGGCCTTGCCCTCAAGATGAGTCCATGGGCCAGGTGAGTGGGGGGTCCAGCTGCCCAGGCTGGGAGGCGGAGGCTGAGACCTGAAAGGTGCTGACCGGCTTCCCCCCAGCCTGGGCAGCTTCATGAGCACGGCTGAGCAGGTGCGGCTGCCAGATGACTGCACGGTGGGCTACATCGTGGAGGGGCTCCTGGGCGCCCACCTGCTGCACAGCCCCCTCTTCCACTCCCACCTGGAGAACCTGCAGAGGCTGCCACCGGACACCCTGCTTCAGCAGGTACAGGTGCCACTCCGGGTGCTTCTGCCACAGGGGCCTTGCACCACCCCAGCTCCCCCAGTGGCACCACTGCCCGGCCTGATGCCCAGCTGAGCAAGTGGGTGGGATTTGCATGTGGCTGGGGGTGGATCCTGGACAGACTCCTGGCCTGCTGGACAGGATCCTCAGGTACAGTCGGGGTGTGCTGTCAGGCAGAGGGATGAGGGAACAGCGCAGTGCTCGGGGCAGGGGGCGTGGTCTCTGGTGATGGGGACTTGAGCAGGTCTCATCACATGGATCAGAGAGGGAATGAGGGTCAGCTTTGGTCTGGAGGTTCCAGATCCCTCACCCCTGTCCCCCAGGCTCCGCCTGAGGTGTCCCCTGCTCAGCTCATGCCACCCTTCAGTGCTGTTCCCGAGCCTGGCCTCCCCAAGGAAGTGGGGAGAAAGGAATGGGCAAGGGGGCTTTAGCAGGGCTCCTGGCCATGGAGAGGCGTGACCCAAGACCAGAGCAGACCACACACTGCCAATACCATCCCCTCCCAGGTGACCTTGAGCTATGGGGGTCCTGAGAACCCACATAACGTGGTGAACGTGGCCAGAGTCTTCAGTCTACAGCAAGACCCCACACGGTGAGTGGGCAGTGGTATGGGCAGGCCCTCAGTCCCATGGGGGTGCTGGCATCAGCATGCCCCTCCACAGCCCTGACCCCACTTCTTGCCTCCCCAGGTTTAAGTCTGTCCACTGCCTTCTCTACCCAGACACGGACTGGTGTCCCAGGCAGAAGCAGGGCGCCCCGACCTCTCAGTGACACCAATGGCCCTGACCCACAGCTGCCTGAGCTCCATCCCAGCTGCGGGGAGCTGGAGCCCCCCATAGCCTCAGTGGGTTCCATCAGGTGCCACAGCCACACCAGTGAGATGCAGGTGCCTAGAAGACCCCCTGGCTAGTCTGGCATCTGGGCTCCACTGCTTACTGCTGAGGCCCTGGTCCAACCACAACCATTGCAAGGGCTTAGCCTGGCAGCATTTGTGGGGGATGCCCCCCTCTCTGCCACAGGCTGGGTGCATGGCCAGGCATTGCAGTGAGGACTCAGGCCCAGGAAGGCCAAGCTCTGCTCCCAGCCCTCAAGCCTCATTCGGAGGCCTCCTGACTGGGGCCACAGACATGCTTTTCTCTGCTCTGACTTACGGCTCAGGACTCCTTTCTAGGTCCTGCTCCCGCCCCACTGTGCCTGTGCCCATAAACAGCAGGAGCTTTTGTTTGGGGCTCCCTGGATTGAGACTACTCCTGACCCACCCATCCCTACACACCCACCTCCCCACCCGGTGGCTTCCACAGGGGAAATGGGACGGGGGGCATCATCCCCCCCTGCCTCCTACTTTGCTGTTGCCAAGCATGAGTAAAGGCTCTGTTCTTACATCATGCGGCTCCTGTCTTAATCACCCACCAGCGCAGCTCTCCTGGGTCCCTGGCATGACCCCTCCTCCAGGAAGGCTCTGTCCCAGGCAGGGCTGTATCCTTGCCATCCTGCCTACCCAGCCTTGAACCCACCAGACTTGGGAAGCCAAAGCCTCTAGCAGGGGTGGTGTGGGGGGGGGGGTCCTGCCGAGAGGGACAGACACTGGACGCTGCCCTGAGAAACTACCTTCCTGAGTGTCCAGCTTGCCTTCTCGCTGTGTGTTGTGTGGAGCCAGTGTGCATGTGGGTGGATGTGGGCGGTATGTGTGCATGGTTCTGTGCATGTACATGAGGATGAGTGAACACATTGAGAGCTGGTATATACATGCATATAGGTGAGTATACACCTCTGTGCATGTCTGTATGCATCAGTGGGTATGTACATGGCAGCGTCTGTGTGTGTGGGTGTGTGGAGGGAGGGAGAAGGAGGCAGCATGTGGAGTTTGCTGGTTTCTGTCTCATTCATTCATGCTTGGCCTGGAGCAGAAGGTGCCCCAAGAATGCTTGAGGTTAATCATGACTGGGTCCTCAGGTTTTCTGGCTTTGTCCACTGCAGGCTCTGGGCAGGGAGAAGAATTCTGGGGCTCAGAACAAGTGTCGGGTAAATTTCAGCAAATCTGAAACCTGCATCTCAACAGAAACAAGAAAAAAGCGAATTCTTGAAAGTTGCTGCAGAATTGTAGATGCCCCAAGAGAAGGCATCCTATGTCAGCTGTGGGTGTCTCCACATGGCTGTGGGTCCCTCGTGCTGGCTCTCCCAGATGTGGGGTTTGGGAGTTGCATTCTCCTCTCCTGAGACCTCCCTCCCAAGCCCGCCCACACAGGTGCCCACGAACGGTGTCCTTGGAGTGTGGGGAACATGGACTAGAATGCGTTGGCACCACCAGAAAGGGTGTCGGGACAAAGTGCTCTGAGGGGCCTTTTCCAGGCCGTGAGGCTCCAACAGATGTCGGTGGACATGCGCTTTCCAAGAGTCCAGCTTGCCGCTCCTCTGAGGAAACAGTGTTGTATCCATTTTGCCTCAACTGTGTCAACACTGGTCTTAAAACCTAAAGCCTTATGTTGTCGAGCAGAAAGGAAATGGTCATTGGTGTTTAAGCCACGCTCTGAGGTTGCATTGTGTCTGGTCTCGGAGGTCACCCTGTTTCATTTATGCTTTCCTTTTTTTTGGTCTAAGTTTAGGTCCACGATGTCCTGAGGCTTTTCTCCTAAGCAACCATTCACACTGCTCCCTGTTGTATTGTTGGGCTGTGTTTATAAACGTTTCAAACCAGCAATTTTCCACTTTGATTCCAATAGCCATTCCCAGGCAGGGCCAGTCCTGCTGCTCAGATGTTCTGGGAAGAGACTCTGGCCAACCCAGGCCCAGTTCCTGCTGGATCAGTTGGCTCCAGCTGCAGAGACAGCATGGACGCCAGTAGGGAGAGAACCGAGTTGCAACCACACCTCTGGAGGAAACAGGGCTTGGAGGAGGCAGGGGTTATTCAGGGGTCCAGCCTCGTGAAAAGAAACCAGACAGGGTCCCATAGGCAGGTACTGTTAGGCCCCCAAGACAGCGAAGTGGTAACAGGGACAGGTCACAGGAAGCATGTCATGGCAGCCGACAGGGAAGGGTCCACACTCTGGACACCTCCCTCCAGCCATAGGGGCCTTGAACACAGGCAACCACCGGCTCCAACACATCCAGAGAAAACCTCCCAACGTCCACAAGCACACGCAGGACGTTCTCCAGGAGAGACCATATGTCAGGCCACAAATCAAGTCTCAATGTATTTAAAAAGACAGATGTTAAGCCCTGTCACAGTGGCACAAGCTTATAGTCCCAGCACTTTGGGAGGCCAAGGCAGGAGGATCACTTGAGCCCAGGAATTCAAGACCAGCCTGGGCAACATAGGGAGACACCCCCAGAGTCTTTCTTTCTTTTTTTTTGAGATGGAGTTTCGCTCTTGTTACCCAGGCTGGAGTGCAATGGTGCGATCTCCACTCGCCGCAACCTCCACCTCCTGGGTTCCGGCAATTCTCCTGCCTCAGCCTCCTGAGCAGCTGGGATTACAGGCATGCGCCATCATGCCCAGCTAATTTTTTGTATTTTTAGTAGAGATGGGGTTTCACCATGTTGACCAGGATGGTCTCGATCTCTTGACCTCGTGATCCACCCGCCTTGGCCTCCCAAAGTGCTGGGATTACAGGCTTGAGCCACCATGTCCTGCCTAGCCTTTCTTTCTTAAACAGAAAAAAAAAAGTAGTGTCATCTCTGAATCCAGAGCAGAAGGAAATCTGGAAAAATCACAAATTTGTAGAAATGTAACAACACACTCTTAGCCAGTGGGTCAAGGAAGAAACCACAGAATACTTGGAGACAAATAGAAACAACTTAAAACTTAGGAGATGCAGTTTTGCTAAAGGAGACATTTCCAATTGTGATGCTCACATTCAAAAAGAAGGCTCCTCTGCGCTATGCTGCCTGTGGCATAGCCCTGCTCTGTGTGGAGCAGCTTAAAAATGATACTAAAATGAGTATAAATGCTTGAGGGGGTGGACACCCATTTTCCATGACGTGCATCTGTCACACTGCACACCTGTATCAAAACATCTCAGACACCCCGAAAATATATATCCCCACTATGTGCCCACAAAAACTTTTTAAAATAATAATTAAAAGAAGAAAACAAATAAACAAAAGGGCCGGGTGTGATGGCTCACGCCTGTAATCCAAGCACTTTGGAGGCCAAGGCAGGCGGATCACCTGAGGTCGGGAGTTCAAGACCAGCCTGACCAACATGGTAAAACCCTATCTAAAAAAAATTTTTTTTAAATAAATGTAATTAGCCAGGCACGGTGGTGCACACAGGTAATCCTAGCTACCTGGGAGGCAGGAGGATGGCTTGAGCCCAGGAAGTTGAGGCTACAGTGAGCTGTGATGGTGCCACTGCACTCCAGCCTGGGCAGCAGAGTGAGACCCTGTCTCTAAAAACAAAAAAAGAAGAAAGATCTCCAGTCAACAACCAAACTTAATGACTCAGGAACTAGAAAAAGAACAAGGGCCAGGCGCGGTGGCTCACGCCTATAATCTCAGCACTTTGGGAGGCCGAGGTGGGTGGATCACCTGAGGTCAGGAGTTCAAGACCATCCTGGTCAAGAAGGTGAAACCCTGTCTCTACTAAAAAAATACAAAAATCAGCTGGGCATGGTGGTGCGCACCTGTATTCCCAGCTACTCAGGAGGCTGAGGCAGGAGAATTGGTTGAACCCAGGAGGCGGAGGTTGCGGTGAGCCGAGATTGTGCCATTGCACTCTAGTCTGGGTAACAGTGAAACTCCATCTCAAAAAAAAAAGGAGGGGGAACAAAACCCAAAGTTAATAGAAGAAAGGAAATAATAATGATTAGAGCAGAGACAAATGCAGAATAGAAAAGAAATAGGAAATCAACAAAGTGAAACTGAAAATTGGTCCTTTGAGATTAACAAAATTGACAATCCTTTAGCTAGAATGACTAAGAAAAAAGACAAATTACTAAAATGAAAGTGCAGACCTTACTACCAAGTCTAGAGAAATATAAAGAGGCCAGCACTGTGGAAAACTGCACACCAACAAATCAATTAAGCGAGATGAATGAACAATTCCCAGAAATGTGAAACCTACCAAGGCTGAATCAGGAAAAAACAGACGATCTGAATAGGGTCTATAAATATAATTAAATCAGTAATCAAAAACCTCCTGACAAGGAAAAGCCATAGCCCTGATGGCTTCACCAGTAAATTCTACCAAACATTTAAAGAAGAATTGGCCGGGCACGGTGGCTCATTCCTGTAATCCCAGCACTTTGGGAGGCCGAGGCGGGCATATCATCTGAGGTCAGGAGACCAGCTTGGCCAACAAGGTGAAACCCCATCTCTACTAAAAATACAAAAATTAGCCAGGTGTGGTGGTGCATGCCTGTGATCCCAGCTTCACAGGAAGCTGAGGCAGGAGAATGGCTTAAACCTGGAAGGTGGTGGTTTCAGTGAGCCAAGATCACACCACTGCACTCCAGCCTGGTACGTGGACCGAGATTCTATCTAAAAAAAAATTTGTATAAATAAATGGAATAAGATATATGAAGCAAAAATTGGCAGAAAGGAAGAGAGAAATAGACAATTTCTATTTCTAGAAATTGCAGGAGTTGAAGTTTTTTTTTTAATACTTCCCTCTCAATAATGGACAGAACAACCAGACAAAAAACCCAGTAAGGACACAGAAGACTAGAGCAGCACACAACGCTGTAAACCAGTTAGCCCAGCCTTTTCCGTAGATGTCCACATCTACAGAAAACTGCGCCCAACGCAGCACAATACACGTTGTTCTCAAGTGCACGTGGAGCATTCTCCTGGGTAGACCTTCCATGAGACAAGTCACAATACATTTAAAAGGACTGAAATCTTACAAAGTACATTCTCCAACCGCAATATAATGATATTGGAAATCAATAATGAAAAGGAAATTAGGAGATTCACAAATATGTGAAAATTGATCAATGTGTTCCTAAATAACAAAGGGGTCAAAAAAAAAATGAGACTAGATAAAATAGAAAACAGGGCTGGGCACGATGGCTCACGCCTACAATCCCAGCATTTTGGGAGGCCAAGGTAGGCGGATCACCTGAGGTCAGGAGTTTGAGACCAGTCTGGCCAACATGGTGAAACCCTGTCTCTACTAAAAATACAAAAATTAGACGGGCATGGTGGTGTGTGCCTGTAATCCCAGCTACTCAGGATGGTGAAGCAGGAGAATCACTTAAACCTGGAAAGGGGAGGTTGCAGTGAGCTTAGATCACACCACTGCACTCCAGCCTGGGTGACAAGAGTGAAACTCTGTCTCAAAAAAAGTGAAAAGGAAATTAGGAGATTCACAAATATGTGAAAATTAATCAACATGCTCCTAAATAACAAATGGGTCGAAGAATATGGGACAATAAAAAGTAGA